ACAAGTTTTCTCACTTTTACACCTTCTAGTTTTCTGCCTTATCCCACTGTGGGGGAGTGACAAGTGGCTGTGTGGGGCTGGGCCACTAGCTGGTGTTAAACCAGGGTAAGTACATGTGTGGTCAAGCCATTGATTCAAGTATAAAAGCAATTCCATATCTCCTTAATCTGTTTTCTTCCCCTAGTATTTGATTTCTGACATTATTTCTGAAGCGGTAGAAGACCTCAGGATGAACACATTGGAAAGTAAATGACCAGTTAAAAAAATCTACTTTACACCTTATAAGAAACGTATTGGCCTTTGAAGTGGGGGGAGAGTGGGAAAGACAATCTGCTGGAACCTTCCAGCACAATCCTCCTAGAAAAGAGGAACTATATTCACTCATGTTTCACTGCATGTTAAGTCTTTTTTGGAGAGAAAAGGCCCTGATATTGCAAGATTTCTCTCCTGCAGTGCCTCAAACTTGCAAGAAGTGAGGACGAATAAAATCTGACTGAAGTGATTTTTCCTACCTCTTGCATTAATAGATCATAGTGCTCTTGAAAACGGCTTAAATTTCCTTAGCATGAAGTGGATGAAAGAAGGGAAAGTTTGCTTATGCAACAGCTCAGACAGGTTTCCTTATTATCTGTGAGTATAAAACAGACCTCTCTGCAAAAGTGTTTAAAACATTTGCATTTGCAGGTGGAAATTGGTGCACTCCAAAAATGTCTTGGTGTGAGAAGAACTTGAGAACCCCAGATGCTGCTTTTAGCTGCAGTGAACTCTTGTGACCAGTTTTCTTGTCAACTGTGAAAAAAGTCCTGTATCTGGAGATGTAAAGCTCTGCAAGTCAAATGTGACAGGATCTCCTGATGTTTTTGAAGATATGTGGAGCATAGTCACTCTCAGCACCGTTTTTCATGCATAGCTTTATATATGAGAATTAACTGACTCATAATGTCTTATATGGCATTAATACATGGGATAAAACAGGCTTGCTAGAGAGAAACCTGGGAGTTGACATGCCAATGTCTGTGAGATGCTGTGCTAGCGAAGTCCTTCAGTCTGCAGTCTCAGTGGAGGTAGGTAATGGAGATCCACAAAGCAGCATAGACACAAGGGATATCGGGTTAGAAACCATGGAAGTGCCTGAGAATAGCCAGGTAAGAATTAGTACTTCTGTCTCCAAAAATGCAATGGGATCAGTAGCCCAAATGAAGTGCATCTACACCAGTGAATGCAGCATGAGCAACAAACAGGAGGAGCTGGAAGCCACTGTACAGCAGGAAAACTATGATTTAGTTGCCATCACAGAAAGATGGTGGGATGACACACACACTGGTGTGCCGCAATAGATGCCTACAAACTTCAGAAGAGATATGCAAGGAAGGAGAGGTAGTGGGGTGACTCGGTATGTTAGGGAGTGTTTTGATTGCCCAGAACATAATGCTGGTGATGATAGAGCTGGGTGTTCATGGGTAAGAATCAGGGGGAAGACCAGCAAGGCAGTTATCATGATGGGAGTCTGTTATAGACCACTCAACTAGGATGAAGAGATGGATTAAGTATTCTATAAGCAGCTGGGAAAAGTCTCATTATCTCTTCCCCTTGTTCTCATGGGGGACTTCAGCTTCCCAAATGTCTACTGGAAATACAACACAACAGGAAGAAAACAGCCTAGGAGGTTCCTGAAATGTGTGGAAGAAGACTTTCTGACATAGCTGGTGAGGTAGACAACTAGGGAAGGTGCCCACTAGACCTGCTCTTTGTCAACAGTGAAGAACTTGTGAGTAATGTGAGGGCTGGAGACCATATTTGGCATAGCAATCACAAAATGACAGACTTTTCATTTCTCAGAGAGGTAAGGAGAAGAGTCAGCAGAACTGTTACCTTGGACTTGCGGAAGGCAGACTTAGGCCTGTTTATGAGACTGTTTGACAGTCCCATGGGAGGCAGACCTGAAGGGAAAAGGAGTCCAGGAAGACTGGATAATCTTCAAGAAGGACATCTTAAAGATGCAGGAGCAGGCTGTCCCTGTTTGCCAAAAGATGAGCTGGCACAGAAGTAGACTGGCCTAGCTGAACAGAGAGCTTTTGCTGGAACTCAGAAAAAGAGGAGAGTTTATGCCTTCAGAAGAAGGGGCACACAACTCAAGAGGACTAGAAAAGTGTCATTAGGCTATGCAAGGAGAAAATTAGAAGGGCCAAAGCTGAATTAGAACATAATCTGGCTACTGCTGTAAAAGACAATTAAAAGATGTTTCTAAAAATACATTAGCAACAAAAGGAGGGCTAAGGAGAACCTCCATTCTTTACTGGGCATGGGGAGAAATATAGTGACAAGGGATGAAGAAAAGGCTGAGGTACTTAATGCTTTATTTGCCTCAGTCTTTAGTAGTAGCACCAGTTGTTCTCTGGGTACCCAGTTCCCTGAGCTGGAACACTGGAACAGGGAGGAGAATGGACCCCCTGTAATCCAAGGGGAAATGGTTAGCAACCTACACCACAAGTCTATGGTGCTGAATGGGATCCACCCAAGAGTACTGAGGGAGCTGGCAGAAGTGCTCATGAATCCACTTTCCGTCATTTATCAGCAGTCTTAGCTAACTAGGGAGGTCTCAATAGACTGGAGGTTAGCAAATGTGACACCCATCTACAGGAAGGGCTGGAAGGAGGGTCCAGGGAACGACAGACCTGTCAGTCTTGGTGCCAGGGAAGGTTATGGAGCAGATTATCTTGAATGCCATTATGCAGCACATACAGGACAACCAGGAGATCAGGCTCAGACAGTGTGGGCAGGTCTTGCTTGACTAACGTGATCTCCTTCTATGACAAAGTGACCCTCTTAGTGGATGAGGGAAAGGCTGTGGATGTTGTCTGCCTAAACTTCAGTAAAAACCATTTTCCCACAACATTCATTTGGAGAATCTGGCTGCTCATGGCTTGGACAGGCGTGCACTTTGCTGGGTAAAAAAAACTGGCTGGATGGCCAGGCCCAAAGTGTTATGGTGAATGGAGTTAAATCCTGTTAGTGGCCCATCACAAGTGGTGTTCACCAGGACTCAGTTCTGGGACGAATTCTCTTGAATATGTTTATCAATGGACGAGGGGATTGAGTGCACCCTCAGAAAGTTTGCAGATGGCACCAAGCTAGGCAGGACGGTTGACCTGCCTGAGAGGATGCACTTTTTGCAGGTACACCACTGGAGGTCACTCATGTACTAATAAACAGCATGGTACTGGCTGTAGAGAAAGGAATTTCATAAATCATCCAACACTGAACACATCTTGAACTGAAAATTATTTCAAAATGGAAATGAGTTGGAAAATACCCTGTGTGGTTATTTCTCAAATTTACAGTAGAATATATTAAAACTAGCAAGTAAATTATTATTTTTTTATTAAAGGACAAAAATTCCCAACATCAGCAAGCTATGTTTGCTTTGACCTAGCTACAATAATAATTGAAACACAGCACTTTTCTTTGCCAAAGAAAGCAAAGAGAGGAAAAGGTAGCCACCTCTAAAAAAAGCTCACTGAAGTCACAATCGATGTCACAAGAAACTGCAGAGAAAATTACATGTAAGATAGGAAGGGAAAAACTGCATGGGAATTTTTTTCACCATGCCATATCTGATGGGAGAAAAATTGAAGGAGGAAGTGATAAATGCTACTTATAAGACTTGTTTCCTTACCTCTACTCTCCGTTAATCCATTTTTATCACTATCTTCAAACTTCTGGGCATATTTTTTCTGAAATTGCGAGTTGTCGAGAACTTGTTAAAATGTTTTCCCCTTTTCCCTAAACTAAAATTTTAGTACAAATTTCCTGCTCTGAGGTGAAGACTATAAAAAATAGGTCCAGTTCCAGCAATATCAGTACAACATCTTTCATCCCAACTGTGCCAAAACTTCAAAAGCAAATGGCTACTGGGCCTGGAGTACAAGTCTTACAAGGAACGGCTGAGGGAACTGGGGCTGTTTAGCCTGGAGAAAAGGAGGCTGAGGACAGACCTTCTCACTCTCTACAACTACCTGAAAGGAGGTTATAGTGAGGTGGGGTTGGTCTCTTCTCCCTAGTAACAAGTGACAGAACAAGAGAAAATGGGCTCAGGTTGTGCCAGGATAAGTTTATATTGGATGTTAGGAAAAATTTCTTCACTGAAAGGGTTGTCAGGCACTGAAAGAGGCTGCCCAAGGAAGTGGTGGAGTCCCCATCCCTGGAGGGATTTAAAAGATGTGTACCTGTGGTTCTTTGGGAAAAGGTTTAGTGGTGCACTTAGTGTTAGGTTAATGGTTGGACTTGATGATTTTAGATTTCCTTTACAACCAAAATGATTCTACAAATCTGTGAAAATGGAAGCAAAACCAGACAACAAAGGAAAAATTTGAAAACACTGCACCAATGTTCTAGGAAAGCAAAATTCAGTTTGACTTTAAACTGGCAAGGAGAGACTTAGGGCAACAAGAAGAGCTTTTACAGCTACATGAACAATAGAAAAATTGACAAGGAAAATGTAGGCCTATACAGTGATACGGGATACAGATAGAGCTGGTAAGCCAAATGCTGCCTTTGTCTTCATCTTCAGAAGCAAGACTCCCGACTCCCAGGCCTCTGAGCCCAGAGGCAGGGTTCTAGGAAGAGAACTAGCAGTAGTGGGAAAAGGTTAAGTTTGCTTCTGCACACTTGTGAGGACACAGTTTCATGAATCCAGAATAATCCTGTACTGATTTCATCAAGTGGCTACCTGTTACTTTTAAAAAGGTTGTTTTGAGACTGCACATTATGAGATCATAAAAGCTTCATAGACAGTTATTTCAGACAGAACAGTGACCAAAAGGTTTATTCAAAGTATTGTAACTTAGCCTTTTATGAATAAAAATTTACCAGCAAAAATGGTTTACCATAAAAAATAATTCACTCTGAAATTTCCTTTATTTGGTCCTTTGTTTTTAGTTGTATTCCATTACTTGGCTTCCTTTAATTCATCCTCCTTATTGTCTACACTAGTAGTATCCTCAAGTAGAAGTTCCTGTGGAGAGAAAGGAAAGATAGAACATAGAGATGTATTTTATTATAAAATACTGGAAAGTAATTTTAGTAGCCTAAGGCATAACTCTAGAACTATGCTGTCTACGTCAGTCATCTTTCCCATTGCTTTTCACTGCCAATACTTGAATTTAACTGTTCTCTGTTGTTTGTCTGCTGCCAGACAAAGTACACACATATTGACTGCCAGCCAAAGAATGTTTCCAGTTTGAACAAGCATCATAAGAAACATGGAGCAAGAAGGATAGGATTCGTGTGTGGAAAAAAAATATGGTAATGGGACAAAGAATACAAGGCTGCAAGAAACCATATTTTGTTACATCTGCTCTTCACAGTATGCATACTTTCTTAAAAATGTTTCCTCTTCCTATAACTTAATCTTGATAAATATAAAGACAAGGGGAATATATTGCCTAATCAATTATGGGCATAGACCTATGCTGAAAAATGTATAACTATTTGATTATAGATATAAAGAGCTGGAAGGAACTTTGAGAACACCTATCACCTTCATATGTTTTCATGTGTTGTAATCTGCATATATGCTGTCTCTGAGAGATACTTGGGTCCATTTTTTGGAGTTTTTTTGTGTTATTCAAAAAAACCCATTGGAATACCCTAACTGCTTCATTGTGGTAGGCCAAGTAATTTGTTAGAATCATGTTCAGTCAAAAATGATTCTCTGAATCCAAGAGACTTTGAGACAAACTAAGGTCGATGCAATTTTGCCAAATCCAAAGCAGAGCTATGCAGGAAAACCATTTAGATGTCTGCCAGATCTAATCCAAGCCCAAAGATCCCAATTGTGCCTAAATATGAGTAAACACAGATGCATCCTTTTGTTGCTCCTTCGTAATTTTGTATTTAAAACAGGTTTCTGAACTGCCTGGAAGAAAACTTAAGCATCTAATTCCAAAGCTCTTTGGTTTGTAAGAGAAATTAAACAACCAGAGTCTCAAACCCAGAGGTTCAAACCACAATGCATAACAATACCTAAAATTTTTTCTTCAGATTTGTTTTGCCTGCTTTTTAACTTCAGCTGACAGAATAAGAATACCCAGTTCCATTCATGAGAGGGAAGTGGAGTGCACAACCCCCCCTGCATTTCCCAGGGTCTGAAATCTTCTCTCATATTTTTGTACAAAAAATAATTTAAAAAAAAATAGTTGAAAATGCAATCACTGACAAACTCAGCTCTGCAAATGCTGTATATGCACAGATGTGTTACTTCTAATTTGTACTGCTACAGTATATGGACTTGACTACTCAAAATCAGTTTATATCTAGAGAGGACTGCCTCCCTTATGAAAGGTAGTGATTTCCATCGTCTGTTTAGCTTGATAATGTACCTGAGCAACATGACTTTGGCTGATTGATGTACATAATTGGAAACCCTGATTACTAATGAAAGAATAAGCATGCATTTCCCATCCCTCACCTTCATCCTCCCGAACTTTCTGTTCTTCCTCTCTGCTTCCCTCATCTGCCTCTACACCTTTCTCAACTTCCTCTCCTGCATTCTGTGCTGGGCTTAAATCTTCACTGGGTACTTCATTAACAGGAGGTGGCTCATCATCCTTAACCTCAGCCGGCTCGTCAGTGACTGAAAGATAAGAAATTAGAAATACCAAAGAAAATTAATTTTACAAATTTGCACTCAGCCATTGTTTTCATGCAATAGCTAGCAACTCCTACTGAAGTCTGTAGTTTTTACTCACATGAGAAATCCCACAAAAACTTTTGTAATTTTTTATAATCAAGTTTTTAACAGTCCATGATATAGACTAAAATGATTCATGGGCTTCCAGTGACAGTTGTCTCTCATGCTATGTGAGACTAGGCAGACACATATACATTGTGCATGAACAGCCTTGGAAGTTCCAAACCATCAATATGTGGTAAATTATAGGAAAAATGAACAAACAAAAAACTTCTCAGAACACTTGCTATTAAACTTGAAAAGCACAGTTTTAGCTGAGAATCAAAGCATGAAGTTTCCAGCTGCCCAGCAGAACAAACCTGGTATTTTCTCCTCTTCAGTTACTGGTGCTGTTTCTTCAGCTACTGGTGCTGTTTCTTCAGTTACTGGTGCTGTTTCTTCAGTTACTGGTGCTGTTGCTCCTCCTTCTTCCACTGCTTCTGCTGTTACTACCGCCACTGGGGGAGGTTCTTTGTGAGAAGGTAGATTTTCCCCATGAGGAGTCCAGACTGCTAATTTGGCAATTGTTGATGCTTTCCATTTTGGTGCAACCAGTAATAACGGTTCTTCCTCCTCTTCTTCCTCTCCTCTATCCTAGAAGACAACTCATTAAGTCCAGCATCTCATCGGTATTAAGGGAGTAAACAAGATGATGAGGTTTTGTACTCAGTCCTCTTTATCTGGGCTCAAAATGGCATTGGCATGGCTTTTTAAAGAATTTCCAGGTGGAGGAACTTTAGCAGCCACAAGTCTTGGAAGAGAACTACACTTTGAACCTTGATTAAGTCAGTTGACTATATTACTAAGGATCAGTGCTTGCCAGCTTGCTTCCTTTAAGGTAAAAGTCTCTCCCTCAAACAGAACAGCTTTAAGGGGCCTATCTGTATTTCCTCTTCTATGCCTGTCTGCAGTACAACAATGCCAGTTAAGACCTGATTCTCTCTGTCTGGTCAATGCTACACTGTCCATCTCACAGAGGAACAGTGACAAAACAGCTCCCTTCTGCCTCAATCTTTGCTTAGGGAAGACCTTAGAATAGATCTAGGAAGCAGTAAGGTACTGCACAAAGTTTATGTTTTCAAAATTTGAAGATTTTCTTTTTTAAACATACTTTATTTTATCCAAATATAACGGAGTCTTAGTAATGGAGTAATTTTCTGCATTGCAAGCTATTTTATTTTTTTAATGAGTCTAGCTCTGCAATTACTTCATATAAAGCAAAGAGGCAAAATTTAGTGACAGCACTGTCCCTTGTTTTACACTGTCACTACAGCATTCATGTAAGAAATTATTGTTCCTGAGAGTAATTTTCAGAAGCCAAGTGCTTAACCTGGGATTCTTAAAGTCATGTTTTAACTCCCACATCAATGGCCTAATATTCCAAAATAAGCACATCCAACCATCCCCAACTGAACTGAGGATACTAGAAACAAATAGCTTTTAATACTCATATGAATCTGATACTTAATTTGAGGATCTTTTGCTTTTTGCCAAAAAAGCAAAAGAGTTTTCATGTTTTGTATATCTCTATCACTAATGATAGGAATATTTATTATTATCTTAAGAAACAATTGCTGCATTAGAGACTTTTCAAAGAGTGTGTAATGGGAACTTATGTGTCAGACAACAGAGGTCACAAACTCTAACCTAAAATGTGGCACATCTTCTGGAAAGCAAAACAGTAATATTGTGATGTATTGCTTATTTATCTAGTTATTTTGCACCACATCAATCAGACACAGTTCAGAGCATTCATGCACACAGGAGAAGAAGAAACAGGTCCTGGTGCCAGCTGTTCCCTGCAGTTATTAGGAGCTCCTAACAGGACAAGGACAGCAATGGGACATATTTCCAAAAGATAAATCTGCTGTCAATTACCATTTGTACACATTGCATCAAGCAATTCAGAAACATAAGAAGAAATATTTTTCATTGTTTTCTGGTGGTCAGAACAAAGTGGAATATAGGCTAAACAGACAAATACATCTATATTGTGTGGCTTGAAACTTCTAATGTTTTAGGAAGGTTTTTATTCTTCTGAACTTTAAGAAGAAAAGACTCCTATCTGCAAAATCACACCTTGCACTTGTCAAAGTTTATACAGTAGAGAAGCTAAAGCAAAAAGCGAAACAAAATCCCATTCATTTATTAAGAAGGCCCAAGTTTCTACCCTTTTTTCACTAGATCTATGTTAGCATCAGAATGTCTAAGGTATTTTATGAATTATTCAACACTAGATTTGATTTACTGAGTTCTCTGATCTTCAGTATAACTTGCACTATTTCTTTTACCTGTTCTGGTTGTATGTATTCACCATGCTGTTCACATCCAATATCAAAGATATATTTGCCATAACCTACAGGCTGTTCAAAGATACAAAAAAGTTAGCAGAACTGTGAAGTTAGTACATTCTAAGCATATAAATGTAAAATATGCTTTACTACAAAATTCAAACAATAGTAAATAACAAAATAGTTTGGAAGCAAAGTTGCAGAGAAACTTGGCATTCTGTCCTATGGAATAATTCAGTTTCCTATGTTACATTTATGGCACAAGAAATACTACAAAAGATCAGGAGCCTAGCTTCTTATTTTAAGTGGAAACAGATCCTATTAAGACATGCTTAACAGGATGTTCCATGCTGACCATTCAGAAGAATTGAGTTTCCCAGTACACTTACATTTCCATTCAAAAACATGCCCAGGTATCTATGGTTTAGGTGGATAAGTTCAGCTTCTCCTTCCTGGTTTCCCTCTACCCAGCCACCAACATACTTAGATCTTGTGTCATTATAGAGATATGTGCCTTGCCCGTGCCTAGGGAGAAAATAATTTTGCATCATAGTACTGAATATTAAGAATTTAGGATGTTGCTTCACTTAAGGTATTAAAACTGTACTATTTAAGTAGCTGAAATGACTTAAGTTGATCAAGGGTCATCCAGTAGCACTTGATTTGCTCCAGTCAGCCCTGCTTTGAAAATAACCTTTGCATTTTAATGCCACTGAATGACTTGAAACATGACTATATGAACGAAACAAACCTATTGTGGTTTAACCATTCTCCAGAATAGGTGTCTCCATTTGGATACGTGTACTTTCCATAGCCATGTCTCTGGTCATTCACCCAGGATCCTTTAATGAGAATATGATAAAAACAGAGTGAGAGGTGGTCAGTTTGTAATGCTGACATACATGAATTCTTAGAAAAAGAAATGAAAGCTATTACGCAGCTGTGATTCCTAACCATTCCTTACACCATTCCTAACTCTAAGCCCTTGCTCTTTTTTCTTCTATCTGTCCTTTTCCCCCTCAAATATTTATGCAGCTGCCTGACCTCCCTTTCATTTTGCCTGTCATGATCTGCCTCCATTATCACTCTCAATTATCATGATGAACACAAGAAGCGATGTAACATTCTTCTCCTGTCTTAAAATTTTATACTGTATTACAGTTGCATTAGATAATGTCACATTTCCACTCAAATAAAAAGAGGGACAAATTGAGCCTGACTCATTTGCTGAAATTGTCCTGTTAGACAGGGGACGTATATACTCAAAAGGATGCTAGATTGCATGTCTTAATTACTCTTCTATTCATACTTAAAATAATTGTTTAAAATAATCCTAAATCACAGGTGCATATGCTCCTGTAAGCCAAGATTGGGCTGCTCTTGTTGCTCTCGTTGCTCTCTGCTTCCAGCCCTCAGAATGTAAATGTTCTTCTTGCCTAGCATAGAAAGGAGGGGAGGAAATATTGTACCTTAAAGCTTAACTGATACTCAGTGTTTTGGGTACTCTCCTGGAAGAAGAGAAACAATGCAAGTTTCAACTTCTTCAAACTTCAGAGGCATTCCAATCCTGAGTACTCTAATCAATAGACTATTTTTTAAGGAAGGACTTAATTAAGTTCTAAAATACTTTATCCTGAACATATGTGTGGATCTAATAATCATTCAGAAATAAGTAACTACTCTCTTCTACCAAGAATGTACTGATTTTTAAAAGACACTTAATCTTTCTCAATATATTAATATTCTTAATATTTCTTAATATATGGGGGAACACCCCATTTGAAAGGAGGATATGACAAGAAAAAAACACTACTAAATACCACATTTCTCACAATAATTGACATAAATTCCCATAAATAAACCCTACACTTCTCAGAGCTTGTAGTAAAAAAGGAATAAAAGGGAAAAAAAATCATAGCAAATTTGTCTTCTTAAAGGAATACATTCTCCAATTCAATGAGTGAGGGGGGAATGCACCTTTTCACTCACAGAAATACTTGCAACTGTGTTCAGTGGTTTACCTTCATATTTTGACCCATCTGGATAAAAAAAAACACCATGGCCATGCTTTTTGTTTTGAAGATATCCTCCAGTGTAGAAAGCACCGTTTTTAAATCTGTAGGTCCCCTGAAACATATTTGGCAGAGATAAAATACTTGTCAGTTCTCACTCTTGTTTCAGTAGGGTGCCCAAGCTAACAGAACCACTGAAACATAAGCACACCCACTGGCTACTGCCACTGTCTTACCTGCCCACTTCTTAAACCATGTTCATATTCCCCCTCGTACGTGTCACCGTTGGGCAGACGTGCTCTTCCACGCCCATGTCTCTCACCTTCTTCGTTGCGTTCACCTTCATACTCCTGACAGCGTGTGAAAACAAGAAAAAAGTTGTATAGGGCTAGACTTGACTGCGTCCAGCCTCATGAAGCAGGAAAAGAGAGGTGTCTGCTCGAAGCTGCTCCAATTTGACTTGAACCGGTGTCTGCAGGAGCACCTCGCCAGCAGACACGCTGCTTGTGCAGACACTGTCATCAGGGGCTTTTCTCCCTTCCTGCCGCACCACTGGAGAGTACGGATGATTTGTTTTCATCCCTTGGAGAAAGCCGGGAATGTCCCAAGGCAAACGGTGCAGCCCCATTCCCAAGACCCCCTTGCCCACCGGAGCAGCGCCCTCCCGGGCTTCCCACGGCCTCCATAGAGCACCTAAGACCCCCTGCTGGGCAAGGTTCGCTCTCCCCTTCCCTGCCCGAGGCCCCTGTGCCCACCAGCCCCTTCCT